CAATCCTCGGCAACCTCTCCTCTCCCATCCCGCACATGCGATACTGCCAGGTCAGCTTCCTCGCGTCTCTTCCCGACCGTAGGGATTGGATCCCCAATTCTGCCCTCACGGCTGCATTACTTGTGCGCGTGGAGCATCCTAGGATGATTTTCGCTGCTTTCATCTGCGCCGCCTCGAGTTCTTTCACTACCTTCTTATTTCCTTCCCATACTTCTCCGGCGTACTCTAGCGGCGGTACGATTACGCGGGGGGGGGCTTCGAAAAAACGGCGCGGCCCAAGCGCTGGCTGTGACACACGCCAAGCAGAAGATAGTAAATTGAAGGTTTCTTGGTGGTAAGCACCCTGTGTAGACGTTTTTTTTTTGTTCTCCGTGGGCGGTTACCTCGGGGGGGGGGGGGGGCTTCCCCTACGATGTCCGCGTCGAAGCGTTTCNGGGGGGGGGGGGAGGCTTCCCCTACGATGTCCGCGTCGAAGCGTTTCTGGTTGAAGTGATGGTGATGAAACGAGTGACACTCTTGCCGACAACTAAGGGGGGGGCAACAACGTGCTTGCTGTACATCAGAGGCTTGAGGCTGGAGAGCGAACAGTGCAGGCTGATGACGGCCACGGTCGATCGAGGTTCATTACGCCGCGAGCGTTCTCTGTCCCCTTCTTGCCTCCTTAAGTTTAACACCGATTTTTGGGGCCGGCCATGAGTTGCGTACACATGTTAACATGGTGTGATATAAGCACCTGCTCTCTCGCCGGAATTTCCGTTTCCTCGTGGGAATTCCTGATTCGCACAGTCGACGATATTTCCCCGGTCGACGAAAAAGGCACTTAATCGTTCAATGCGGTTGGACAGGGGCCGTGCCGTCTTTTCGATTGTCTACGTTATTTGGTATCACGCTCATGTGAAGCCAGTGATAAACAACAGCAGCACACACACACACATCGTTCCTACTGTCTGCGAGGGCTCAATGAGCGAGCATGGACAACGATCGACTCAACGCAGTACACGTATGTGACGTATGTGGGTATTTTAACCCGCCTTGCTTCTCCAGACAGTAGCGCGGACGGGGCAAACAACAACCTCGAAACATCTTTGTGCAGCCCGAGCCCCATGTTCTAAAGAGTCAACACCACACTTGAAGAAAACACTCGACATTTGAACCAGACTCTCACGTTGAGCGCGAGCAGTTCTCCACTTCACCCCACCTCGAAGCAAAAACGAAACGTTCTGAACGAACGCATAGTGTAGCACTCGCACGATTGATGTGGCGACTGACTGCGTCGTTAGAAAACAAACGGCCCTCCCTGAACATTACTAAAGAAAATTTAGATAACATCTGCAACACCATTTGGCACAATAGAGCACCCACAGCTTCAAAAATATTACTTTTATTTCCATCCAAACTAGAGTTGTGAATCGGAACGATGTACACGATATATATCGTCCGATATAATATATCGATATCGGTATCGAAAATTCGTGCCGATGTTCCGACCGATGTTTTCTTAGGGGCTCCGTGAATCAAATTTAGGGTATGCGCAGCAGTACGGAGCCCCTGTACGCCACACACACACAGCACAGCAGCGCAGAAACAGCAGACAACAGCACCATGTCCAGAACCAACCGGGAAGTAGACACAGGGAGAGACCGAAGGAGGGTACTGCTGAGGATACGCGACAATACATCAATCTTAATCTTTTTTTTTTTTTTCTACATTCCGTGCGATGTTTGCAGCTGAAGTCAAGCCCTTTTTGATGCCGCATTTGGGCCCATTTTGACGGGAAATGAAAGGAAAATGCACCAAATTTTCTGCCTCCGGCGGCGCCTCCGGCGAGGCCCCCTCACCAGCCGGGGGGGGCCGATGGGGGGGCTCGCTTCGCTCGCCCCCATCACGGCTCGCTGCGCTCGCCCGATATTTTCTCCGATATATCGCCTACGGCGATATATCGGAGAAAATATCGTTATATCGGCTGCTGCGCAGCCGATGTAAAATATATCGTTTTTTCGTACCGATTCACAACTCTAATCCAAACTCCGTCTGCTGTCTACAGCAGCAGCAGCAGCAGCAGCAGCAGCAGACAATTCCGGTGTGTTCTCCAATGGCCGGTGACCTTGCCCGAATCCGTAGTAGATGGAGTGAAACAAACAAAGCTCCTACATACATACATAGATAAGACTGCAAGGTGCCAAACCACGGCGTGGTCTACCACAACATCTATCTGCCATGCAAGACTTCCAATCATTCTTGCTGCCATGTTGTTGTGATCACCCAGTACGTACGTAAGTACCCATCCCGACCTCTGCCAAAAGCACCCTCTCCTCCTGCTTGCGCTTCAAAGGCAAGGACCAAAATTATCCTGAACTACACCTTCACTCAACAAAACCAGTACCTGTTAGAAAACAAATATAATATCCACGATTTATCCCACCACTTACCTACGAATAACCTGCATTTTTTAGAATATCAATAGCTAACTCTGTGTTGCAATCGACCTCACAGAGCATGTGCTATGACAAATGACACGGGTGTGTGTGTGTCGCGTCGTTTTCTAATATATGCTGCAAGTGCAATAATAACAGACAAATATTCATAGTACCTCGAAGCTTTGAGATTCCGCAAGGCGCCCCCATCCTCGTAGACTCGCACCGTGTCCTAAGTTGATCGAACTAAGAGATTCTCAAATAAGCTTACTCCTGACGACATCGACGTCAACCCGTCTTGTTTACAGACCGAAGAGCCGATCGATCCATCGATCACTAGTTATGGGCTAGAGCAACATTCGCGTCCATATTCCAACAACGCTTGCCTGCAACCATTTTTTTCAGGCGCCACGCTACTTGACCAATCAAAACCTTTACGCAGTACGGTAGATGGACCGACGAACGTTCGATGCACTGACCACAAACGTATAGCTATAGTCTAGTCTTGTTTTCTGTTGTCTATGTAGAAACGACGAAGAATCACACCGCGACAGACGTGGGCGAGCAGTCCCCGCTGAGAGCAAGCGGCGAGTGCTCGTGGAGATCCCACAGGCCCATCCGGAGATCGGTCCTCTTGGTGGAGTCGTCAAGGAAGACAGCCATGGGCTCTGGCAGGCAGTACGGCGGCAAAGAGAGGTTGATGTTGTGCCCCATGGGAGGCACGAAAGTCTCCGACAGTTTGTTCTCGTCGGCCTCCACGTACGTCGAAGCCATCAGGAAACGAGCCCCGCTCGCCTGGATATTCTGGATGACCTTGAGGTTGTGACGGGCCGGCAGGTGCACCATCAGGTCCCTGGGAGCACGACGAGGGGGGGGGGGGGGG